GGCTATTTTTTGGTTGCAGCCGTCATTGTTGTTTGGCGGGTCCGGGCTGGGGATTTGAACCCGCCACCTTAGGTGTACGTGGCTGGCACCCTAGCTGGTTGAGCTATAGGTGCCGAGCCAATATATAATTTCTTGTAAGTGCTCTGTTTCCTCTTTAAAATTTGGTATTGTCAGGGTTTGTGTTTGTTTTGAGATAAGGCCTTGCTCTCTTGCCTAGGCTAGAGTGCAGTGGCATGATCCTAGCTCACTGCACCATTGAATTCTTCGGCTTAAGTGATCTTCCTGCCTCAGCCTCCTGAGTAGCTAGGACTATGACTGTGCCACTAAGCTCAGCTAGTTTTTTAATTTTTTTCATAGAGATGGATTTTTTATATTGCTCAGGCTGGTCATAAACTCCCAGTCTCCAGTTATCCTCCTATCTCAGCCTCCTAAACTGCTAAGATTACAGGACGGGCATGTACTATATCCAGCCTATTTGTCAGCTTTTTATTTTTCTTTAACTTAGAAAATAATTTTATTTAATTTTTAAAAAAATTTTTTATTTATTCAATTATTTTTTTAGGCATTCTCACTCTGCTGCCCAGACTAGAATGCCATGGCATCAGCTTAGCTTACCACAACCGCAAACTCCTGGGTCCAAGCAATCCTCTTGCCTCAGTCTTGAAAGTAGCTGAACTACAGGCACCATCACTGGGCATGGTTGATTTTTTTTCTGTTTTTTAGTATGGACGGGTTCTTACTCTTGCTCTGGCTGACTAGTCCTCTCACCTTGGCCTTCCACAGTGTTAGGAAGGGTAAGCCACCAAGCCAGGCCAAATTGTATTTTTTTTTTTTTTTTTTGAGACAGAGTCTCACTATGTTGCCCTCAGTAGAGCTCACAGCAACCTCAAACTCTTTGGCTTAAGTGATTCACTTGCCTCAGCCTCGTGAGTACCTGGAACTATAGGGGCCCACCACAACATGTGGCTATTTTTTTGTTATTGCAGTTGTCATTGTTGTTTAGTTGGCCCAGTCTGGATTTGAACCCATCAGCCTGTGTATTTGGCCAGCGCCCTACCCACTGAGCATGGGCATTGCCCCAAATTGTACTTTTTTTTTTTTTATTTTTTTTCAAGAGTAGAAAGGCCCAGGGAATGTAAGCAAAATGGATCCTAGAATGAATCGAACCATCTTGTTCCAAACCCCCAGAAAAACTGTGTTACCCCAGGAGCTGGGATCTGAGCAAACGGACAAGGAGAGCTGTAAGGCCACCTGGGGCCTGGACCGGGC